GCATTCAAGGTCGAAATAGCCAATGCAGCTTCCGCATTCTGGATATCGGCGCTTCCATAAAGCGCACTTTGAATATCAGCCCAAGCAGCAACTACAGAGCTGAGAACCATAAGCCCGAAGGCGAAAAGAGCCGATGCTGTGACGCTTCCTCCGAACCACAAAACCTCTCCGTATGCAGTGACGATGATGGCCAAGTTTTTGAAAATCGTGTAGACAGGGACCGAGAGGTATTGGAGAGCTTTGGTACTGGTATAGATCATGCCGACGAGGAGAAGGGAGATGGGAAACCCTGTACACGTTAGCACTCGTCCAGTAGCCCCCAGACAACTTCCTTACATGTCTTTGCTTTCTTGGAATCAAATGGAGCGAGAGTCGTGATCAGCCCAGCTTGCTTGCAGAGTATGATAGCAGTAATGCACACCAGAGACTGAATTCATTAGCCACCACCTGCAAATCCTGCGCGAGGAACGTACCTGGATTGCGAGATAAAAGAAGTTCAAATTCCAGTTGGGTCCAGACACACAGTACTTGTTCGTCACTGTCATCGATATCGAAGCTAGACAGTATGCCAGAATGGAGAGAGGGGGGCTGTTCGTGATGTTGGAAAGGGGAGCGGCTGGAGGGTTTCTCGGGGATCTGGTCGGAATGATGAAGGGATCCCTGGCAGAAGGAGAATTCCGCCCATTGAAATGTCTCTCGGGCATTTCGATGGCATAGTCTTCGTTCTTCTTGTTGTCCATGGCTGCGGTTGTCCAAGTGGTGTTGAAGAGAGGTGTTGGAAGGGGGCGTCCTCGCGATTACGAAAGGGAGAAGCTGGCTTGTCGGTTGAACGGTAAGGGGAACGATCGCTCGAGTACGATTCGTTATTATCGCAGCATCGATCGAGATATCTGCGACTGATGGGAGTGGCTGTATAGCTGGTCGACGTCCTGAGTTGAAGAGTTGAAGATTGTCAGGGAGGTTCAACAAAGTACCTGGCCTCTCCCTTCCAAAACCCTTAGCGGTCGTTAATTTTAGACCCGGATTGCAGGGATGGTGCGCAAGGGGATTTTAAGATTTTGGAGGCGTCGTGGCAATCTCTCAAAAAGGGGTCCAAATTGGTAAGGGTTCGTAAGAACAGAATGATGTACTAGTCGGTCCACCTTCTGTGGCTCGGGGCTCGCTTACAGTCGGGGAAAGCAAATGTCACAGGAAAGCAAAAGTGTCACAACTCAGATACGCGAAGCGCGTTTTCCCACCAAAAACACTACTTTTTGAATCGCGATTGTGATCCACCACCGACCAATTTTCATTTCGATTTACGATCGTTCAAATGCCCTTACCTGGAAATTACTTTGGCAAGTACGCCACGAAGTCAGACTACAATATAGCCTTCGCAGAGGCTCGGAAATGGGCTCTTGAGCACTCAACGGAATCGTCGAAGACTGCGGCGCGAATATATGGTGTTTCTGAGTCTACTTTACGTCAATCCATCTGTAGGGCAAGGAGGAAGAAGGCTCAGGGAGGTATAAGGACCGCAGATTCGCCAGGAAGTGGTGGCCATAATAAGGTGTTATCGCCGGTGCAAGAGACGGCGATTATTCAATATTGCCAGAGCAATGGGAGTTAGGTCTTGGAGCTACGCATGCAATGGTTAAATCAGCAATTACTCATCTTTTGGCAGTAAGAGCCTCTCCTTACTTCCGTGAACCTCTGCTGATATTATACAGTCTCAGAATCCTCCAAAATCAGCTCCCTCCGATCGGTGGTACACAACTTGGTTGAATAAGAACGTACAACTCCACACGCTGAAGACGAAGCCTATGGAGGTTATACGTCTAGAATCGCATACTGAAGAAGAGATTAAGGCTTGGTTCGAGGCTCTAGGGAAAGAGATGCGGAGGCTACATATTAATTCAGGAAAGAAGGTCTTGAATATGGACGAATCAGGTGTACGAGTTGGTTGCCCCTCCGCAGAGAAGGTCGTTGTACCTGTAGCTGTTACGGAGCTATATACTGCAACTCAGGGAAGCCGTAAAACCGTTACGGTCACGGAAACTGTACGTGGAGATGGCCAGAAACCTTTGCCACCTTTTATAATCTGTCCTGGAGAACATATCATGCAAAATTGGGTGTCTCCAAACCTCACGGGTGAAGAGACAATCGTCTGTTCTTCAAGTGGCTACGTCAATAACGACGTAATCATGAAATATGGCTATCACTTGATCAAGTACTCGCATGCCGGTCCAAATAAGCCGTGGAAGCTCTTGCTCTTAGACGGCCACGAATCTCACTTCTTTTTGCCCTTTCAACTGCTCTTAAAAGAGAATCATATTCTTCCTTGGTACTTTCCAAGCCACCTAACGCATGCTCTCCAACCTCTAGATGTCGGCATATTTAGACCATGGAAACACTACCACTCTCTTGCCGTTAATTCGGCGTTGCGTAGCTTAGATCTTGAATATACAATCACGTCTTTCTTTAGAGACCTGTCCCGGATCAGAGAAGAAACGCTAGTTTCCCATACTATTTGCAACGCTTTCAAAGAGTCCGGAATCTGGCCGTTAAGCTGTAAAACCGGCCTCACGAGAGTACGGTCTTTCAGCAAAGGAAACCTTTCTACGGAGCCTGAGCTTCCTTCAAACACTGCCTCTGAAAAGGTTTGGAAGACGAAAGCAGCAATTGAGTCGTTTATTGGTAGAGATCCGACGACATTCTCTGATAATACCGTGGAGGTCTTTAAAGAGGCAATGAAGGAGACGGCGGTACAACTCCAGAAGGCTTATTTGACGACTACAGAGCACGCTCTCTTGCAACAAAAGCTACAGGAAAGTGCTAGACGGAAGAAGACTTCTCGGCGTACAATTAAGAGTAATGGTGGAGGTTCTGCACCTACAGTTACTGAGTTACGAGTACAGATCTCTGCAAAGGCAGAAGCTGAACGAATGGAAGAGCTTAAGAGAGCTACGAGACTACTTTCCCAGGCTATTGGAAAACACAAGGAGTCTCTAAGAGTAGCGGGAGTTGCGGCTAGGAAGATTAATAAGGTAAGAAAGCAAAGGATACAGGAACTAGTTCGTGCAGGAGAGGTTATTCCACCTGATTCTGAGCTTTTGATACGAGAGAGAGAACCAGATAAAAAGCCCAACGCTGTAGAGGCTGTACTTCTAACTGAAGAGGGTCACCCAGGCCTATTGGCGTCTAAATTGCAATATCAAGTGGAGCTTGATAACGACGAAGAAGTAGAGATATATACGCAATCAAGTGGAGAGAAGGCTTGTACTCAATACGCTGAGTACGTCGATTCTTCGCCGGTAGGCTCAGAATACGCCGAAAGCTCTGGAGAAGAGGATAAGGAGGACTCATTTATTACAGGAACCGACTATGTAAAATTAGGGATTTGATATGGAGTTTTGCATTTGAATAATTGTTGCCGGCGACTTGGTTTTGGTGGGGTTTACACTAAAAATAAATCGCCGATGTTAACCCGAGCTGTGACACTTTTGCTTTCCTGTGACATTTGCTTTCCCCGACTGTAAGCGAGCCCCGAGCCACAGAAGGTGGACCGACTAGTAGTTTCGATGCAGATAGATTCAAGAGAGAATAATCCGGTTGTTTCCAGCGATACGAATTGTGTCTGGGTCTGGATTTCAAATTCTATGTGTCTCTCAATCGAGCCTAGGGCCACGCGTAGGGCCGGACGCATCGCGAAATCTAAGGTGGCTTTCAGCGCGTCTCGTCAAGCCGCAGGAACTTCACAAATACCCAAAATGGCAAAATTAGATGCTCAAGTAGCAGCCATTCTTGATGCGGGCAGTACATCTGACGACGAAGATGCTCTTATTGCCTCCCTCGAGGACTCCCCAGCTCTAGATGCCTTCCGCGAACAACGCATCCAGCAATTACATTCCGAATTCTCGCGCGCAAAGGCGCAGAAGAGTGATGGGTTTGGAAATTATACGGAGATCAAGGAGGAGAAGGCATTGATGGAATTGACAACTTCCGTCAAGTTTGCCGTGGTGCATTTTGCAAAGGACGATTTCGCACGATGCGGGGTTATGGATGGGCATCTAGAGGTAGGACCATTCTTTCTGGGTTAAAACTTGGGCTGATCGTGGCAGGCTCTTGCGGCGAAGCATACGGATACACGGTTCTTGAAGATGAAGGTCGATAATGCACCTTTCTTGGTCGTCAAGTTGAAGATCCAGGTGCTGCCTTGCGTGCTGGCATTTGCGAATGGGGTCAGTGTTGACCGGATTGTTGGATTCGAGGGATTGGGTTATACCGAGGATACTTTCACAACCAAAGATCTAGAGACTAGGTTACTGGGAGCTGGAGTTTTGCAAAGAGCAAAGGCCGTGGGAGAAGCAAGTGTGAAGTGGGGAGTGAAGGCACAGAAGAAGGCAGATAGTGACGATGAGGAATGGGATTGAGCATACTTGTGTACTGATCAAGTAGCCAAGGCAATTCGCTCCAAGACATGGAGGGGGCGACAGTTAGTCAGGGCTGCTGCTGAAGCATTTGCTCTGGATATGCCATACTATCGGAACTCCAAAGAGGGATGAAACACCTCTACGCAATCTTGGAGCGGCAAATCAACAAGAAGGGCAGACAAAAGGGACAGCTAAGAAGCAGAAGACAAGTGTGCATACGGCCAGGTATCACTTCTTACCGTTCAAACAGAACCAAGCCAAGACTTACAATGTCTAAGTTACCTCCATTACTTGTGACTACATAGCTTCGTTTGACTGAGGTACATAATACCCACTTATAGTATCAGCAACTCTACTGCCTTTCCCAAAGCTGTTTCTGAGCCATCTCTCCTTAGCATTCAAGAATGGCGTGAATTGCTTTGCTCATGCTTTCGGAGCCTTCCTCAATCTTGATGTTCGAGCCCTGAGCCTTTCACGCGGGCTCGGCATTCGGCTAAACTTCGAGCACAGAGTGGATACCAACTAATACTTTTAGATAATCAAATAAGAAAAACCACCATCACGAACAGCGAGCATGTTCTAATTCTGGCTTCTGTGGTCCAATGGTTAGGATTCCACCCTTCCAGACGTAAAAACGTCGAGTAAGGTGGAGGTTCGTGTTCGATTCACGGCAGTTGCAAAACACTTCAACTCTTTTTTTTCTTTTATTCTTTTCTGGTCGTCCGTTCTTGCGTTGTTATCAAGGCTGGATGGAATCCCATTTGGTGGGCGATTTTTTTTTTCTCAGGAGGTGGGGTTTTGGCCTTTCAAGGGGAACTTCGCCGATATCGGATTTGTTTACTCCGATAAGCGAGTGTCCTCGCTTCCAAGTCCAATGTTGAGGGCAATCATTGAGAAGAAAAGTATTGGCTTAAAGAGTGTACCGATACGGGATCAAGAATACGTGAGTGAACAGTAACGCGTTTGCAATAATATTTTTGGTGGAGTCACACTTTCATCTCTTTTCAAAATCCTACAGAACGGCAGATTCTCCACTGCTCATATTGAGGCTCGAGAGTATTATGTCTGCTTCCAGCAAAGGGCTCGGAAACTTGCCTCACAGGCTTTGGGGGGTAGATTCCAAGTGCAAAGGATCTCTCTGACAAATAGTAAGTCAAATTCTTGGGAACATTCGTCTTTGCCTAAGCTCTACGATTGATAAAGACACTTCATGGAATTTAACAACAGCCAGAGTGAACACGAGGTCATTTAGCTCAATGCAGCTGGCATAATCCCAGGTTTCGCTAAGTCCTTCCCGCAGGGCAGAAACCAGATAAACGAGAGAATACACAAGAGCGAAACAGAACGAAAAATGTAAGTACCCGCTCCGCTTCCGTTCATCCCCTCATACTCATCACTATCAAGGTCATTCCAGACTGCAGATCATTCACTTCAACACTTGGTCTAGCTTCATGCAGTAACAACACCCTAAAATTTCAGAACATAAGACCAGCAAATAGTTGAGGAAGGAATCGATCCAAGCAAATACCTGGCCAGCGTCATTCCAACCCCAGTGCCAACAGAGCCGTGGAGCCTCAAGGGCGCGGGACATCAGTAGGCTCAGTGACGGTGTGTGTGGGCGGCACTAATTATGTATGTCACCCGTACATGAGGTATGAGCAGATGAGTAGCTGAGAAGAGCAGAAGGAAGTTATTAAAAAGAGGAATCTAGAAGAAGGAAGCTGGAAGGTGGAGAATCGTTTGTGAATTTATGGCTGGTTTGTGGAAATGAGGAGATGGGGGAAGATGTCTTGTGATTCGGCGTGAACGAACGAGAGCCAGATGTTCCGAGTCGGGATTGGGCGAGGGGCGAGTGACGAAGTTCGGTATTCATGTTCTATTGGAAGAATCGCTGTATCGCGGTCTTGAAGTTCGCACGATGGAGTTGGGGGATGATATAATTAGGTGTGCGAGTGAAAAGCTTCTTACCAGATGGGCGGGACACCGATGCACATACTTTGAAATCTTCACCTCTTCTTCCTAGAAATGGGTCTCGAAGCAAATATCATATTACAATTGTGGTGAGCCGACTACTTACTCGTTCTTTATGGACGCCGCAGTAGTCGGCCTTCACAAATCTTCACACGACTTAGTTCTGCGTCGCGCAATACCTCGCTCGGCTGTGGCTGGCTGAGCGAGGGGAGTCCGCGATAAACACCCTCGCTGATTGGGTACCGAATTTCGGGCTTGGCGAGAGTGTGCGGTGGGTTTTCTCCGCGTCGGAAGACTTGGGGGCTGAGCTTGTATTTGCATGCGTGTGTGTTAAGGAACGAGAGAGGAGCTGTGACTGGTAGGTGGGTTGAGTGGTGGTTTTGAAGGGCTGTAGTGGCCGCTTGGTGTGTGAGGGGGAAGTTTTGGTATGCAATTTGCGAGAGACTGGGAGTTGGGCCCGGCTAGGCGCATTTTGTTTGCTGTTTGGGTCGGGATCTCGAGGTAACAAGTGCCAATAGACAGTGCATGGAGCAGAAAGGAGGAGTGTGCACAAAGGAGGTAAATTAAGATGTTCAAGATCTTTATACTATGGCATCAGAAAAGTATCGAAAATCAAAAGAAGCGAAGTGACAAAAAGAGGAAAGAAATGTAAAAACGCTCGCTGAAAGGACTTCCAGAATTGCTCAACAGAGCGAGCCTAGGGGTATTCATTTTCCATCCGAACCAAAAGAAAGAACCCATCCCAACCCATTGCAAAACCAAATCTATTCCAAGAAAGCCGCCGCTTCAATTCTCTTTCGTCCAGCTACTGCGTCCATCAGTGGACACTTCATCCTTCTCATCAACCATCGAATTCCTCTTACTACTCGAGCTCCCAAAGAAGCCGACCAGACGTTCCTTGACTCTATCCGCACCACTTTGCATTGCCGTCGCCGAGCAGAGGAAGCTATTCGACTCTACTGAACTCGAAGCTGATGAATCGACGAAAGAAGATCTGTTTCCAACACCGCCAATGCCATGGTGGTAGCTGCCGGCAACGGGGAGCTTGCGGATGCTGTCGCGAGCGAGTGCGTCTTCGAAGGAGATGCTAGCGCGCTCCTCGTAGGAGCGAGAATTACCTGCACCGCCGATGCCTGTGGAGAACATCCCTTTGGATGGAGTGGGGATGACACGAGGTGCAGAGGGGACGACGAGTGTGGAGGTGCTCTTGCGGATGTTGCCTGCACCGCCGATGCCTGACTTTGTATATCGGCAGGTGGAGCTGAGGAGGGTAGTGGTGTCGTTGATAGCTTGAGACATTGTGGTTTTTGTTGGAATTTGTATACAAGGCTGGCAGTGGTGGTAGAGCTTGAAGTTTGTAAATAATTGAAGTTGGGTATATTTCCAGAGGGCTGATATGAGGGAATAGATAGATGATGTTGTTGGTCTCGAAGCAAGGAATTGATTTCTGACTGTAGATGATGATCGGTACGACAGAGAAGGATGCTCTCCTTTTATAATGAGAAGGTCAATCAGATATTTGATACATCATGCATCCTGTACATCTGCATGGGACAAAGATTATCCAATGATCCGCTTAGACCCTTAGAATGTCACTCCAACAAACATATGAATTTGAGAAGGTTCGGCATCAGCGTGTCACTAGGCCGCGCCAAGCACATATGTTTCATAATCTCACGGCCCATCCGTTGCCAGTCATTGTTGGCATTTGCATTGAAAAGCATATGAAAGCAAGAAGCGGTCGTAACGACTGGTCTGCACCACAACGCACCTCAGATTACCAGCTCTCTGCGGCAGATCATCCAAGCCCACCCGGCTTTTGGGCGCTTACCTAAAGCTCAAGTTTTTGATGGGAGTGGAGGCGCACGGAAGGCCCAAAGAGTCGAAAGGTGTTATTGAGGCTTGCGTTGATGTGCTGTTAAGCCATACATGGGGCGCAGAGGCTGACATTGCAACTCGAGGCAGCGAATGAGCTCGTTGCTACCGGAACAGCCGAATAGAGGCTGACTGATGTCTAAACCCAATAGTAGATGCTTGTGTTTGCTTAATCTGAATCGTCGGTCGAGCCAGAGCGTGATCATAGCCACAGACCATCGTGGACAGCTGGCTCTGCAGGTGAAACTTTGAAATGTACATGTGGAGAGGCTTGATATCGAGTCGTGGGCTGTTGTCGTGAAGGCTTTCGCGCTCACCATTGCTGTTGTCCACTATGGCGGACTCGCACGGCCTGGACAAGGTCTTGACAGTCTCAGTGTCTCAGTGGCCACATATAGCAGCTCGTAGCTTGAACCAAACAAAATAACTTTACCATTTGTGTGGCTTCCTTTCAGTTGTAGCTGGTGGATGTTTGGAAGATCTTCAGGCGATTGCGCTAAATGCCGTTTCCTTGCGGGGTTTGTTGGCCCCTGAATCCCGTTCGCGTAGCCCTAGACATCCCTGAGCTCGTAGTTGACGTTGGCGCTTAGTCAGTCACCTGCAATGACGGAATTGAGGGGCAATCCAAACTCATCCATCCACTCACAGCAAACAGCATCGTCAAATTTGGTCAGCCTCCTCTAAAATCTCACCATCTTCAAATAGCAAACACGGAATTCTTGATTCCCCTCTTACCTCAGAATACATCACAGATCCCGCTGCTTGGTAAGTTCAACGGTGCGGATGGCCGATTCCCCTCCAAACAAGCCGTTCTGATAACCGCGATACAGTAATTCTGACAGACTACAAGATCACCAAACTTTCGCCTGCTCGTTCCCAAATACCATCACTTTGAACTCGAATTGAAAGTCAATCAAGTCAGCAGCCACAGCCAAGCAAAATGAGAGCATACTGGTACGACAACGCGGCGGTATGCAGAGAAAACGCTGCGCCCTTGCAAAAGAAGCGCCGCAACTCCCCAAAAGAGGCATTGACGCTGACGCACTGCAGGGCGACCAGCGCGAGCCTCACGATTCCGGCAAGGAAGTAACCGCAGATTACCTGTCGAAACTCGGCGTACTCTACTACAACTTTTCAGACGAACAAGATGTCGACAAGCTGGCGGCGGAGAGGAGCTACAAGAATCGGGACGTGATTACCGTTTCTCCAGAAAAGATGGGTGATATCTACGAGGAGAAGGTTAAGTCGTTCTTCAATGAGCACTTGCACGAGGATGAGGAGATTAGATACATTCGTGATGGGGCAGGATTCTTCGATGTCCGAAGCGAGGGCGATGATTGGGTCCGGATACAATTGGAGAAGGACGATTTGATTGTATGTCTGCCAGATCGCCGTTGAGTGTGCTGCATAGACGATACGGACGTATGCTGACTGCAGCTAGATCCTTCCTGCTGGCATCTATCACCGATTTACCACGGACTCCAACAACGTAGGTGGCTGAACGTTGTTCCAAGTCTGGCATATTTTCTAACGGGCATAGTACATCATGGCCATGCGTCTATTCAAGGAAGAACCAAAATGGACACCACTCAACCGTGGCCCCGACGTCGACGCCAATCCCTTCCGCAAAGAGTATCTAGGAATCCGAAGCCGATCGGCTGTTGCCTGACTAAAAGGTGACTGTATTGGGGGACCTGGTTGGATGGAAGAATGATTGACGATTTTTGATGAGTTGTATGATGCAGATGAGTTAGACAAAATGAACACCATTCGTTGCTTTCTAATCATGCAGGGCGTTTCACGTCGTACAACTGGGCAAATCAAGCCTCCCTG